ACATTTCAAAGCGTTTAGCGCAATGGTTCCGCTCTTTAGAGTGATAATGGGTTACTAAATAATATACGAATACGGAGATACCTTTAAATATTTAGGCGTAACTCTCCGAGCACAAACAACAATATAATTGGTATTCGTTTAAAGGTCAACCACTCCTCTTGGATATAATATCAACTTCTCGGGTCTATGTCCTTCAGGGGTAAATATATACGCTATATAATACAAATTTTGTCTTCTTTCACACAAAAGTCGGGGTCCATTTGACCCGCTAAATATTGACCGACCTTTATCAAAACAGGCATGCTTATTCTTTGGCCCGATCCCCTTCTCCATGCAAAATTTCACGATGTTTTTGGGGCCATAATTGCGGCCTCTGGAGCGACCAGAAAAACCGACAAAAATTTAGTATTTGGTCCATTTCATCCCCTAAATATTAACCGATCTCTCCCAAAAACAATAGGGGTCTTTGTGTAGGGTATAAAAACCTAACATTTCTTTTTAAACAAAACTTTCTGCTGCTATTTGAAAAAGAAAAATATTCTTTGAAATGTCCCGCTTCGCTGGCAACATCAAATACTATGCTTAAAAAAATCCACACTTCTGGTACTACATGAAACTGGCATCTATTTAATTTTATTTATCTCTGCCTTTTTTCGTTTTTTTTCTTTTATTTTTATATTTATGTAGACCTCGGCGGAATCATATAACATCATCTATTTGTGTTACTTTTCCCCCCTTATATAATAATTAAAATAAAATTGTCCCTTATAATTACATTTACAACAAATGTCTGTCATTGTTGTTATCTATTTGATGAGATTATAATTAAACGCATTATAGCATTACACCCCTGGGGGGCATCATTTCTCAATTCCATTGGCCATTAACGATATTCGAATCGGTAGTTATCTATTTGTCACAGTATGAGGTGAAAATGACGGCATTTGTAGTACCACACAATCAGCCCAGCAGCCACACAAAACTATGGCATTTTTTGTTTGTGCAACAATTCGACCATATGGTGGTGATGGGCTGTCACATTTTTTGTGAAATGGACGAAATCGATATCCGGTGGTGTCGGCTGATAGCACAATTCCAAATATTTAGGCGCCAATGTCACATGGAATGACCATGACCATGACCATCAAAATCGCCTTACTTTTACTTTAAGCGCTTTAGGGCGTATACGTTTGGTCAGCAGTCATACGACCCACTGTCCACCGATGCTAAAAATAATGTTTAGCTCTATTACATCCAATTTTTATGCAAATAAAAACCAAGTAGCAATGGATTTTCCAAGAAGAATATTATTGCACATAAGCCGTCTACACAAACCCGGCCAATTCCACAAACGCAATGAAGCTGTATAAGAGGTTTTCATTCAAAGCAATTTGCAAAACTTTAATTAAATATTCTTGGAATCCGATATTCTATGGTCATTAGAGAACGATTATGTAATTTTCGATATAATCTTTTAAAGCGATGTTTATGTTAATAACATTAAACCAAAAGGTTAATAGATTGATGTTGTTAAATATTTTTTTTTCGGGGAACAATTAGAACTTTTAATTTTTACAGGCAATTTAAAAATATTTGAAGAGAAGCCGGATTTTTAAAGGAATTTTTTTAAATAATTTTTTTTTCAAGGCCTATCCAAGACGTGGATTTTTTAAAGAACAGTTTTTCAAGGCCTATTCAAAACGTGGATTTTTTCGAGGCCTATCCAAGGCGTGGATTTTCTAAAGAATATTTCTTCAAGGCCTATCCAAGGCGTGGATTTTCTAAAGAATATTTCTTCAAGGCCTATCCAAGGCGTGGATTTTCTAAAGAATATTTCTTCAAGGCCTATCCAAGGCGTGAGTTTTTAAAGAATATTTTTTTCAAGGTCTATCCAAGGCGTGGATTTTCTAAAGAATATTTCTTCAAGGCCTATCCAAGGCGTGGATTTTCTAAAGAATATTTCTTCAAGGCCTATCCAAGGCGTGGATTTTCTAAAGAATATTTCTTCAAGGCCTATCCAAGGCGTGGATTTTCTAAAGAATATTTCTTCAAGGCCTATCCAAGGCGTGGATTTTCTAAAGAATATTTCTTCAAGGCCTATCCAAGGCGTGGATTTTCTAAAGAATATTTCTTCAAGGCCTATCCAAGGCGTGGATTTTTTAAAGAATATTTCTTCAAGGCCTATCCAAGGCGTGGATTTTTTAAAGAATATTTCTTCAAGGCCTATCCAAGTGGGATTTTCTAAAGAATATTTCTTCAAGGCCTATTTTTTAAAGAATATTTCAAGGCATGGATTTTCTTCAAGAGATTTTCTATATTTTCTCAAAGCCTATTTCTTCAAGAGTGGGATTTTCTAAAGAATATTTCTTCAAGAGTGGGATTTTCTAAAGAATATTTCTTCAAGAGTGGGATTTTCTAAAGAATATTTCTTCAAGGCCTAAACAAGGCGTGGATTTTTTAAAGAACAAATTTTCAAGGCCTATCCTAGACGTGGACTTTTTAAAGAACAGCTTTTCAAGGCCTATCGAAGACGTGGACTTTTTAAAGAACAGTTTTTCAATGCCTATATAATGCATGTATTTTTTTTAAAAAAATAAAGAAATTCATTTCAAGGCTAAAGACATTCTTTCTATATGATAAATACATAACAAATATCCCATTGCGATTGAAGAAATCCTCATTTGTCCACAAACGAAATCTCCATACTGTGATATGAAAAAAAAAATCACCCTAGTGTGTGGTGCTCCATGTTGCACTTGTTTAGCAACAGAGTTAATATAAAGAAGCAGCATGTGGCAGAACAAGAAATGAATATATCGTCTAAGACAACATTTGCATGGGCCAGAACAAGGTCATGGCTGCTAGAGACGGAGGATTCATGTGCTAAAGGGATTTAAAAATGTTAACAAGAGTAGAAGTGGTTTCACTGTCTGGTATAGTGGATTAATTTTGCGCTATCAGATAAAATATCTCTCAAAATGGGGTTATATAGAGACAAATCATGTCTACAGAGAGGCCTGAGGACATGTATACCAAACAATAAATACCTGTGGGTCTGTATGAAGACCAATGGTCTTTATAAAGACCTGTGGGTCTCTATGAAGACCAATGGTCTTTATAAAGACCTGTGGGTCTCTATACAGACCAATGGTCTCTATAAAAACCTGTAGGTCTCTATACAGACCAATGGTCTCTATAAAAACCTGTAGGTCTCTATACCCACCAATGGTCTCTATACAGACCTGTGGGTCTCTATACAGACCAATGGTCTCTATAAAGACCTGTGGGTCTCTATACAGACCAATGGTCTATATAAAGACCTGTGGGTCTCTATACAATGGACCAATGGTCTATATAAAGACCTGTGGGTCTCTATACAGACCAATGGTCTTTATAAAGACCTGTGGGTCTCTATGAAGACCAATGGTCTTTATAAAGACCTGTGGGTCTCTATGGAGACCAATGGTCTTTATAAAGGCCTGTGGGTCTCTATACCGACCAATGATCTCTGTAAAGACCTGTGGGTCTCTATGAAGACCAATGGTCTCTATAAAGACCTGTGGGTCTCTATGAAGACCAATGGTCTCTATAAAGACCTGTGGGTCTCTATGAAGACCAATGGTCTCTATAAAGACCTGTGGGTCTCTATGAAGACCAATGGTCTTTATGAAGACCTGTGGGTCTCTATGAAGACCAATGGTCTCTATAAAGACCTTTGGGTCTCTATAAAGACCTGTGGGTCTCTATTAAGATCTGTGAGTCTCTATAAAGACCTGTGGGTCTCTATACGGACCAATGGTCTTTATAAAGACCTGTGGGTCTCTATGGAGACCAATGGTCTTTATAAAGGCCTGTGGGTCTCTATAAGAACCTGGGGTCTCTATGAAGACCAATGGTCTCTATAAAGACCTGTGGGTCTCTATACAGACCAATGGTCTCTATAAAGACCTGTGGGTCTCTATACAGACCAATGGTCTCTATAAAGACCTGTGGGTCTCTATGAAGACCAATGGTCTTTATGAAGACCTGTGGGTCTCTATGAAGACCAATGGTCTCTATAAAGACCTTTGGGTCTCTATAAAGACCTGTGGGTCTCTATTAAGATCTGTGAGTCTCTATAAAGACCTGTGGGTCTCTATACGGACCAATGGTCTCTATAAAGACCTGTGGGTCTCTATGAAGACCAATGGTCTCTATAAAGACCTTTGGGTCTCTGTACAGACCAATGGTCTCTATAAGGACCTGTGGTTATCTATAAAGACCTGTGGGTCTCTGTACAGACCAATTGTCTCTAAAAAGACCTGTGGGTCTCTATGAAGACCAATGGTCTTTATAAAGACCTGTGGGTCCCTATGAAGACCAATGGTCTTTATAAAGACCAGTGTGTCTCTGTACAGACCAATTGGCTCTATAAACACCTGTAGGTCTCTATACCGACCAATGGTCTTTATAAAGACCTGTGGGTGCCTATACCGACCAATTGTCTCTATAAATACCTGTGGGTCTCTACGCGTAACAATGGCCTCTACGATGACATCAGACTCAGTTTTTTTATTGAGACACTGTGGTCTGTGTAGATGACATTTGTCTTTAGTGAGACCCTCAGTAAGCCATTGTAGTCCTATATCCTGACGTAGGGTATTATAATCCCTCCCGCCAGTGTATTTTTAAAGATAACATATCCTCCTTTTGTTCTACTTTATATATCCCCCTTTTGTTTTTCTTAGCTACTTTATATGTAAAAAAGGATATTCATTAAGAATATAAGTACACATACCCCGACCGTGTGTATGTGTGTGTCTGTGGGTGGTTAACTGACTGTTTGTATGTGTGTGTGTATTTGTTAGTTATACAATATTATGACTATCCTATTAACAATACAATATGGTTTGTTATGTATTCTTCTTAATCTTTGTGTTTTATCTTTTCTATTTTTTTTTCTTCTGCATCGCCCTCCTCTCCGTATCCGCACCCGTCCAATGTCATTGCCGTCTTTGCAGTCTGTCTACGCAAATTGGAGGATTTTGATAATGCCTATACCGCATTTGAACGTGCCAGCAACATCTCTCTGGGTCGTTCCTCTAAGCCACCACCCACAGCAGCTGGAAATGTAACAGCCATGGGTGATAATGGGAATGGAAATTCTGGTCGTGGTGGTGCGGATGGTTCTGGTGGTGGTGCATCGTCCTCTTCGTCGTCGTCCCCTCGAAATCCTCTGATACACTTAAATTTTGCCCTATTCTGCTATGAAACTGGACGCTTGGCCATGGCCAACGAACAATACAATCGTTTTGTTAGTTCGGCCCAAGACCTGGTTGCGCTGCCGACCGAAGTAAGTTTGTCACAATTAAGGGATTTGCAATGGATTTACTCGGTGGGCCAGTGGCAATGACACTGACCCTGACACTGACACTGGGCCATTAATTAAAACGAGAAATCTAAAACAAAAACAAAAGCAGAACACCGTTCGTCCACAAATGAAAGCGCAAAACGCAACAAAGTTTGAATTGAAAAGTGAAACACAAAAACACCAAGTGAACTTTTTTTGTTGTTGTTTTTGTATTTTTTGAGCTTTGTCTAAATAGTAGGAAAATTGTGGTTGTTCATTTGTTTATTTATTTTCTCTTTATTTGTTTTGTTGTTTTTTTTAGTTTTGTAGAATTTTTCACTCTGGTGCCTGTTGATAATTAAAAAAAGAACAACAAAAACTCTTAATTGAAACCATTATTTATAACAATTCCGCTTTGCATCTCTCGGTCATTATTATTTGCTAATTTTCATAGCTATTCGCATTTCCGTTTCCGCAATTTGTTAGCAGTTGTTAGTCATGGGTACAGTGGTTTTATGAAGACAAATCATAAATTTTTCAAAATAAGAGATTGCCACCTGTGGGTCTCTATGGGTGGGTCTTTATAAAGACCTGTGGATCTCTGTGAAGACCAATGGTCTTTATAAAATCCCAATGCAGATCAATGATCTTTATAAAGACCTGTGGGTCTCTATGAAGGCCAATGGTCTTTATAAAGACCTGTGGGTCTCTATGAAGACCAATGGTCTTTATAAAGACCTGTAGGTCTCTATGAAGACCAATGGTCTTTATAACGACCTGTGGGTCTCTATGAAGACTAATGGTATTTATAAAGGCCTGTGGGTCTCTATGAAGACCAATGGTCTTTATAAAGACCTGTGGGTCTCTATGAAGACCAATGGTCTTTATAAAGACCTGTGGGTCTCTATGAAGACCAATGGTCTTTATAAAGACCTGTGGGTCTCTATGAAGACCAATGGTCTTTATAAAGACCTGTGGGTCTCTATGAAGACCAATGGTCTTTATAAAGACCTGTGGGTCTCTATGAAGACCAATGGTCTTTATAAAGACCTGTGGGTCTCTATGAAAATCAATGGTCTTTATAAAGACCTGTGGGTCTCTATGAAAATCAATGGTCTTCATAAAGACATGTGGGTCTCTATGAAGACCAATGGTCTTTATAAAGACCTGTGGGTCTCTATGAAGACCAATGGTCTTTATAAAGACCTGTGGGTCTCTATGAAGACCAATGGTCTTTATAAAGACCTGTGGGTCTCTATGAAGACCAATGGTCTTTATAAAGACCTGTGGGTCTCTATGAAGACCAATGGTCTTTATAAAGACCTGTGGGTCTCTATGAAGACCAATGGTCTTTATAAAGACCTGTGGGTCTCTATGAAGACCAATGGTCTTTATAAAGACCTGTGGGTCTCTATGAAGACCAATGGTCTTTATAAAGACCTGTGGGTCTCTATGAAGACCAATGGTCTTTATAAAGACCTGTGGGTCTCTATGAAGGCCAATGGTCTTTATAAAGACCTGTGGGTCTCTATGAAGACCAATGGTCTTTATAAAGACCTGTGGGTCTCTATGAAGACCTGTGGGTCTATATGAAGACCTGTGGGTCTCTATGAAGACCAGTGGTCTTTATAAAGACCTGTGGGTCTCTATGAAGACCAATGGTCTTTATAAAGACCTGTGAGTCTCTATGAAGACCAATGGTCTTTATAAAGACCTGTGGGTCTCTATGAAGACCAGTGGTCTTTATAAAGACCTGTGGGTCTCTATGAAGACCAGTGGTCTTTATAAAGACCTGTGGGTCTCTATGAAGACCAATGGTCTTTATAAAGACCTTTGGATCTCTATGAAAATCTTTGGGTCTCTGTAAAGACCTTTGGGTCTTTATGCAGACCAGTAGTCTTTATAAAGACTTATGGGTCTCTATGAAGACCAATGGTCTTTATAAAGACCTGTGGGTCTCTATGAAGACCAATGGTCCCTATAAAGACCAGTGGTTCTCTATGGAAAACCAAAACAAAAAAAAAAACTCCCCTCCTTTAAATTGTGTTCTTATCACTGTAACCTCCCTCCCGTCAGCCTGAGCAAGATAATAAAAAATGGCATGACATTAAAAAATATTTTTACGCTAAAATACGCATTGCCCCGGCCCGGTGTATAATTACATGTTATAATAAAGAAAAAATTAAATAAACAACGATGTTTGTAATGGTCAGGCCAGTGGTCAGCCACCAACACAGCGGTGGCTAATTAAAGTAGAACTCTTGAATGTTTGGTTGGCCGGTCAGTCGGTTGGTTGGTCCGTCGTTCGTTTGTAAATTTTTAACATCAGTAAATAATTGTTATCGCAATTAAAAGAAGAAGCTTATATTTAACGTAAATTTTGGGAGAGAGAATTTCATAATTATAGAATGGTAGTGAAGAGGGTGCTAGGATAGAGAACTGTGGGTCGTGATAAGGATAAGGTTATATTTTTTTATTTTTGTAAATTTTAGAGAAATATTTCTCGACTCTAGAAATGTGAAATCATTGCAAAGTCATATCTAAGAAATCCCCCCCCTGCTTTAGCCCTTCCTAAGGCACGTCTCTATGGGTTCCATGCTTCGGATTTTCTGCCTTTAGCCAGGGCAAGAAATAAACCATTATCTGTTCTACAAAGACGTCTCTGTTGAATATGCAAACCTCTCCACTCGAATTCATTGCATGCGCGATATAAAAAACACTCTTCACACACACGCATACACTCACACATGGACATATCATTTCTCTCTGTTATTATTTTTTTTCTTGTATTCGGACCACTAACACAACATTTTTTTCCGTAGCTTACACATATTGTATTTAATTATGTTGTTATCCTTGATCGTCCACAAAATATTCTTTCTTACCAAATGGACATGTACACGTGTGTGTGCCTGTATGCGTAGCTTGTAATTGTTAAGCATGTATATGTTTTTTGTTAAATATTTATTTTCATTGAATAACGAATCAGAAATAAAAACCCCAGTAGATAATCACCTACCGAATATTGCTGTTTGCAGATTGTTATGGTTTTTTTTTTTTTTTGTTTTTCTTTTGTTTTTGTAACAAGTCAAGTAGTTGTAATTTAAGTCAACACCCTACACATAAGTTGGTCAACAGCATGGTGGCACACTTCGTAGTGGTTAATATTTTGTAGAACGAACATTGAGCACAAATAAATTGTTGGCAAAAATTAAATTATGTCTTAAATTCATTTACAAATTGACAGTGGATACACAAAAAATCAGGGTATATATTATAAGATTTTTTATTTAATCTGAAGAGACTTTTTTCAGATCCTGACAATTTAAAAAAAAAATTGAATCTATAATATTATTTATATTAATTTTAAATTTGAATTAAATGGGCTTATGGTGCGTATACAGTACGTCAATAGTCATACGCACCGATGAACTGCAAGTTTAATCCATTGTAAAGTTTTTAAAGAAAAAAATCAAGTTGATAAGGTCGTGTATATATTAAATTATATTCCTCGGTGGAACAAGATCCTATGATGATGATAAAGATAGCAAAATTCAATATAGAACGTCGATAGTTTGCACAGGCATCTCTATCACTCCTAGTATGATATGTATCGATCAAACTCTGTGTTCAGAGAAATTAAAAAAAAATTGAATATTATTATAAGAATTCTTATTTATTCTGAAGATCTTGTTTAGATCCTGACAACATTAGAAAATTTGGAATCATTATATTTCAGTTTAAATTCATTTCAGATTTAAATTAAATGGACTTATGGTGCGTATACAGCACATCAATAGTCATACGTACCGATGAACTGCAAGTTTAATCCATTGTAAAGTTTTAAAAGAAAAAAATCAGATCCTGACAATATTAAAAAATTTGAATCTATATATTTTAATTTAAATTTATTTTAGATTTTAATTAAATGAACTACTGGTGCGTATACAGCACGTCAATAGTCATACGCACCTAAGAACTGCAACTTTAATCCATTGTGAGATTCAAAAGTATTTAATAAACCAGTGAGCGGAGCAGTACAGTCGGACGGGGCCGACCATACGATACCCTACACAACTACCACGGAACTCAAATTTTCTGTGGATGTATATTCCGAGCCTGGGCAATATTTCGTGATATTTGCAACCTTTTGCCCGATAAGAGGTAAACAGCACATCTTCCTCACACTGACATAATTTCCGAATATTACGAGTATTCACTACAGCTATTGTCCAGATTCTCTTCACCGTGGGTTGTGTTGTGATGTTCGGCTTTCATTTAGGGTCTTTAGATCGACTCGAAAATAACACAAAAATTTATATTTTCGGTCCACTTCATTCCAAAATTATTATCTGATCATCACCGAAAATTAAAGGCGTTGTCGTTGACCATAACTGGAACCTCATGAAACATTTCAAAGCGATCAGCGCTATGTTCGGCTCTCTAGAGTGATAATGGGTTACTAAATAACATACAAATACGGAGATACCTGTAAATATTTAGGTGTAACTCCCACATCAGAGCACATGCGACAATATAATTGGTCTTAATTTAAAGGTCAACCACTCCTCTTGGATATAATATCAATTTTTCGGGTCTATGTCCTTCAGGGGTAAATATATACGCTATAGAATACAAATTTTGTCATTTTTCACACAAAAGTCAGGGTCCATTTGACCCGCTAAATATTGACCGATCTTTATCAAAGCAGGCATGCTTATTCTTTGGCCCGACCCCCTTCTCCATGCAAAATTTCACGATGTTCGGGTCATTATTGCGGCATATGGAGCGACCAGAAAAACCGACAACAATTTAGTATTTTGTCCATTTTATCCCCTAAATATTAACCGATCTTTCCCAAAAACAATAGGGGTCTTCATTGGCCAGAACCAATCCTACATGCAAAATTTCATGAAGATTGATTCATAACTGTGGCCCTTATCGTGTTTACAGATTATAATGGACAGACAGACGGACGGACTCACATGTGTAGATCGACTCAG